CTGACTGACTGACTGACTGACTGACTGACTGACTGACTGACTGACTGACTGACTGACTGACTGACTTACTTACTTACTTACTAGACAACCACTTTCAATCCAGTTAGGTATGGTTTCCCTGGTACATAATGGCACAGCGTGTATTGGCCAGTAAATTGAACCATTTGCTTATCAATGCATAATTTTCTTGTTCTACACAGACTCAGACATCCTATCAACACGAATTATACATGAGTGAGTTCTCATCAATGATTTGAAGCAAAATTGTCTCTGCTTCTTAGAATGACTCCCTTTCTTGTCCTTTAAAAAAACAGGATAAAATGAAGAAAATAACTATATGTCCACTACAGAGGACAAATTTGAACTACTGGTAGTCAGGAGGTTTTATATAAATTATTTGTGTGTTTKTGTAAWATCAGTCAGCTGAAWTTTTCATATTGGTGCATCCTTATTGCCCCTCCTCGTCACCTGTCATCCCCGTGGCTCACAATCGTCCCMACCCCCAGTTAACAACTTAGTTTTAAAAACAGTTCTTGCACAATTAGTTAGTTCTCAGAGAATGTATTGAGGATGACAGCAGCAACCTACTTGAATGAGGTTTACTAGATGTATAGATTATTATTTTAATTCTAAGAGTTTCAATAAAATCCTTACAGTTATTAGAAGATGTTTTGCTTACAGACACTTTTGTGTAACATTTATTCTCAGCTGAACAATGCAATCCTCTTATAATGGAGTGTTGCATGTTTTTTTCTCACAGCATGCTAACCTCTTGCAGAGCAGCTCTCTCTGAAACATGGCACACCTTTAAAGTCGTCCATTAACGACATCTTTGTTTCTGTAGCCTGTAGCATCTTATCTGTATCAGCTTAAGTGCCTTGCAGCTAAGAATATCTGCAWTAGTAATAATTTCAGATATCAGCACAAGTACTGAACTTCATGGTGGCCTGTTCATGGCTCAGACYATTCACAGCCACCGCCTGTTATCAGACAGAAAGTAAAGCATGGCACCAGCCCCCACAGCACGCTCAGGAGGCGTCACTTCCTGTGTGTCTGCTGCATGACTCTGATGCTGAGGGGAGTCACAGCTGATGCTATTAATACTATCAACTACCTGTCTCTTTAGACGTGTATAAAGTACTTGAAAGAAATAACTAAGTAAAAATAAAAATACCCCAACAGAAAATGACTTTGGCAAAAATTTATTTTACTCACTAAGAAAAGTATTAAGTAAAAGTTATAAAACTGCTCCTAATAATTGGGAAAGTTAACAGTTTTACACAACTCTTT